GAAGCACCTTGGATAATCTCCAGAAATCAATTTAAAAGGTAATAAATTGATTGCTGGCGTAATCTTTTCTCTATAATTATTACAAAAACACAAAATAAGTATAAATAAGTATTTATATTTGTGTACAAGCTGTTTAGATTGTCAAAAAGCCTGTGTTTTTAGGGTTATTAACAAAGTTTATGTACTCAGACCAGTAATATTTGGGGTCACAAGTTTTTGCCATGGATATTTTGTGGGTCAGAAGATAAAAAGTTTGGTAACCACTGGATTAGAGCCCCTATTTCAGTAACCTACCAATACTGTAATGATTTATACGGTTGGTTGAACCCCTGGTGCAGAACTGAGTGATTGATAGGCAAACAAGGTTGCAAAAAAGGCTTTATTTAACAAAAATAAAAAAAGGCTGACAAGGCAGGAAAAAAGTACTTACAAAGAAAAGAAAAGAAAAGAAAAGAAAAGAAAAGAAAAGAACCAGGGTACAAGGAACCAGAACACACACTGAGTGTAGAGGACATGATACAAACAAAACACTGACACAGACTGAAGACAGAGAACAAAATATAAAGAGGAACTAATGAGCTACAACAAGAAACACCTGGAAGAGAAACATGAGGAGCAGGTGAGAGTGGGCGGGGCTGGGGCAGAGACAGGCAGGAGGATGTAAACAAAAAAAGACAGAAACTGTAAAAAAAACACTCAAATGATACAGACCGTGATGAAAACATCTGCTTGTATAGACGCACTGAAATCCTGTAGATCAGTCGTGTCAAATTTATTTTCAAAGAGGGCCAAACAAACATTATGTTTGCCCTCAAAGGGTCAGTTGTAAATTACTTTGACATTTCGTGTGTAACTTTGACTAAAAACAAAACATCACATTCTTCGTCTCATTGTTGCAGCTGAGTGACCAACAAACACAACTGAGCTCTATGTGGTATTTTGTGTATAGAAACAGTGTTTTAACATGTCTTATTTTAAACACTGAAAAAAATACTATGTGTACAACTGACTAAATGTGAGATAAATACAGAAATACTATTAAAAGTAAAAGTAAGAGAATCAGACTCATTGTTGAGTTGTGGTGAGTAGCTACGACGGCCTAGAATTCTGAACTTTTCCACTTTTTGGTGGAGTTCCCACTGGAGGGACATTCCAGTTTAAATTTACGATTTGCAAGTGGAGAGACAGCCTCAAAACGAGTTGATCTGAGACACACCTCAGAAAATGGGTGAAAGGGGGGCATGTGGAGTTACGACAAGGAAGAATTCAACCAAAGCATTGCAGTTCCACTTTATATAGATCCCAGCTGAATGCTTTTAATGTGAAAAATAAGGATTCAAAAGCACATGTCTACTTTAAAGCAGCATATGCTTGTTTTATTAATACAACTTTGAAGCTCTTGTGGGCCACACAACATACTGTGGCAGGCCACATTTAGTCCATGGGCCTTGAATTTGACACATGCTTAAGAAGGTTAATTTTTCAAGGGCATTTCATTAACTGGAACTAATTTCTATGCCCCATTTTTAGTTCCTATAGATGTATTCAAATTGTATTTTTTTCTTTCATGCTTCTTTGACGCATTTTGACATCCATTATGTTAAATAAATAATATAAAATCTTCATTATGTCATATGTTGTTTATCTGATGACAGATTTACCAATTTGAAAATGCTCAATAGCAAAAGATGTGTAAAAATTCAGAATGAAAATGTTATGTTAAACTATGTAAATACAAGGAGTTGTAAGTGAAGCACTATGTACTGTAACTCTCTTCTAGGACCTGCCAGCATCTATCAAGCTTATGTCAGACTTTCTGGGCAATAATCTGAGTGAAGAAGTCATTCAGAAGATAGCAGAACAATGCTCTTTCAAGACCATGAAGTCAAACCCCATGTCCAACTTTAGCCTGGTCCCCAAGAAATACATGGACATCGAGAAGGCTCCTTTTCTGAGGAAAGGTACGTCTCTAATCTTCCATCATTATTACATGTCTAAAGACCAACAAGGAGTTCACACAGATTGTTCAGATGATATGATCTACAAATAATATCTTGGTATAATGGGGATTTTATTATGACGTATGATATGTATCTCAGTACTAAAAGATTTGTTAAGAAGCACTGTATACAGGTTAAATTCAMCCCAGTAAAATGCACCTCTGCAATATTTTAATACATCCTTCCGGTGGATTGTTCAGATTCAGATTCAGATTCATTTATTAATGACCACACAACAAGTTGGTGGAATTTGCTTCCGGTACAGCATGACATGCTCCCATCTCTGTGTCAGTACAAACAATACAAACAAACAAAGTGTGCACTAAAGGATATTAATTAGTGATCTGATTTAGTGACCATACAGCAGTTGGGAAAAAACTGTTTTTGAATCTTACTGTTTTTCTTGATAAGGACCTGTAGCGTCTTCCAGAAGGCATAAGTGTAAACAAATGATATGCAGGATGAGAGGGGTCTGAGATGGTCTTTGTTGCTCGTTGTGTAATGCGTTTATGATACAATGTGTCAATGGATGGGAGGACACAGCCTGTAATTTTTGATGATTTATCTATTATATGCTGTAGTTTTTTGCGTGAATGGGTGTCCAAGTTTCCATTCTGGACTATTTAAAATTTACATACAAAATGAATCCATTTAGATGTCATAAACTTATTTATCTAGAACCAGTAAGTTGCACTCATAAGCCGTTCCTTTTGTGGTTAAAGTTCAAGGAAACTAAGATAGCTTCATGCAACAAGTCCTTGTGACCAAGAATCCTGAAAAAGTCACTTCCTGTTACAAATAATCAGCAGTTTATTTTGCCTCATCGTGTTGTAACAATAAGTAAATGAAGCAGTGCTGCAGAGGTTAGAGACAGTTGATGCTTGAGGAAGGTCCCAACCCCTCATCTACCCACCTACCCCTACAGATAATGTAGATGCCATCTCCCTGCTCCACACATGTGGTCTGWGGCTCAGTGGTCTATGGTTGCATCATGARAAACCTCAGGCATAAAAATTATTATTGTGTGAGTTTGCTCACTGTGGCAGCTRCTGAAGATGAGAGCAGCCAGAAAAAACGACAACAACAACAACATTAAGAAATAGTTTGATTTAACCCTATGTAGTTATTTTAACTTCATGCCAATAACTGTTCATTAGAGGAAAAATCGACCGCCAGACATTACTGCTTAAAAATACTGTTTTTAAAATATTTTCCCGATAAAACTCTAGTCCTCAGTCTGCATTAAAAATATAAAATTTTAAAAACTTTTCTTTAAAAAAAAGAACAACAACAACAACAACAACAACTGTTTATGGGGTTTTATTTATTAAAAACTCTACAATTCATGTTCTCCAATTGTTTTCAAGGCTTTTTTCCATATTAGTGAACTCAAAAGTAATTATTTGAACCAATATTTAGGTTCAAGTCCAATTTGCACACGTCAGTCGACCTTTTTTATTTTTTTTTACTAAAACTCTACTCATTCAGTTATGCCTGTGTGTGTTTCGGTTTTTACTTTTACTAAACCATTTGAACACAAACCTGCTTCAGTTCGGTCCATCTGTCATCGATGCAGAGTTTGGCTATTTACAGTAGTTTCTGCTTTTGTTTTATTTTTTCATCATTAATATGTTGTTTTCATGTTTTTTGGTTGATGTGCTTCTTTGTGGCAGGAATTGCTGGAGACTGGAAAAACCACTTCAACTCAGAACAACTGGCCCGGTTCACATCTGTCCTTCGCAAAGAGCTGGAGGGAGAGAACTTCTCTCTGCCATGGAGCCTGGACTGACCAGCAAAGACAGAATGAAGTCTGGGAATAAAGAGAAGACCTCCACATTTTAGTTATAATTAACAAATAAAATAAGMGACTGCAGCTGACTTTAAGATTTACTTAATGAGATTTACATAACAAAAAATACTTTTGGTTTTCTAAGAAATTTGRTGATTTCTATTGAGTCTTAACTGCATTTCACACACAATTATACATGAGATGGTTAGAATATGTTAAAATCATTGTGTAGTCAGTWCACTTTTATTCTGTGATTAGGTTGTTATGAGAACAGCAAGTTCTGAGGGATTATTTAGTTACCTYTCTCGCACTGAGACAACACAATCAGACATGATGTTTCTACATCTGAGATTTCAGTACGTTGTTTGAGAGCTGGGTCACCTGCTACATCCTGTCCCCTACTTCAWCTGTCATTTTCAGGAGGCATGACTCAGTTGTGGAGACACTATTAAAATATACTGTTTTAAAATGAATGATGCAAATTGTCATTTTGTTCACACTGATCATTTAGATTCATCATAACTTTAAGATAACACTAATTGTTTTATTTCACAATTAAAAATGTCTCATTTACATATTTCTTGGTTGTTTTAATGCAGTAGTAAACTCAAACCCTACATTTTCTAAACTGTTAACATAGAGACCTAAACAGTGGCACTGATTCACTATTCAGTTTTTCTGGGTACCTTGTTTATCAGTAGAAAGAATGATTGWAGCTAGAACAAGATTCGTTAAAATCACTCTTAGATATCATTTGTATTTATCCTTGTGTTTTCCCTTGACCCAGCATTTCCTTAGGATGAAATCTTGCTTTATTAAAAGGACATAATGATGTTTGTCAAACAYTATATAAAGGCAAACTCAACTCCCTCAAAGAAGCAGAGAGCAGGGGGAGATTTTAGTTGTTCTCCTGCTCTTTGGCAGGTTTTTAAGTTCTGCAGAAGCCTGCCAATCACTCATTCATGTAAATCAGGTGTGCCAAAGCAGGGAAGRATCTACAGTAAAACATGCAGGATAGRGGTCTTTGAGGACCTTGYCTGAGGACCACTGCTTGATGTTGATCTCTGTGTTCCTGCTGTTGCAATAAACAAACTCAGACAACATTCTATGAAGTGCTTTTTATTTTTCACTGTCAAGTTGGAATCATCCTGTCACTGACAGGAGAAACAACCTATGACCCTAAAAGTAAGAAACAGGTCAAGAGGATGGATGGATGGATGGATGGATGGATGGATGGATGGATGGATGGATGGATGGATGGATGGATGGATGGATGGATGGATGGATGGATGGATGGATGGATGGATGGATGGATGGATGGATGGATGGATGGATGGATGGATGGATACAGACCAAAACTAAGGGAAGCAACAACGAGGAACAGGTGAGAGTAGGAGGAGCAGGAGTTGAACAGCATGTGGGAAACATCACTGGGGAAGCTGAAAACACAAAACACCAAGATCAAGAGGGCTCAACAAAGGCAATACAAAYTACAAAACACAGATCCTGACAAACATGAGCTGAAATTCTGTAAATACAATCCTTTTGAGTGGAAAWTTTATTTAAAGGGAGAATCTGTCAGTCAAAGAAAAAAATGCAAGTTATAAATTATTTTTGTTCTGTGCAAAGGACTACATGCTGTATATTCATAGAATATGAAACAGTAGTGTAGGGYTCTTTGTCTTGTTTGCTGTCTCTCTCTTGTGTCCATGTGCCATTACTTCTCATCTGTCCTCAGTCTGTTTCCTGTCAGTTTCCCTGTCAACTATACTCACCTGTCTGTCCTTTAGTAATCAGTCATCCTCAGCTGTCGCTCATCATCCTCTTTCCTCTGTTAGTAAATATTCTGGTCAGATCCRCCACTTCCCTTGCTGGTTTATTATTTGGCCATGTCCTACTGTTTGGTTATCATTATTTCCCAGTGTCTCCTGACTTTTTGTTATTTACTGCCACGTCAGTTTTTGTTTTATTTAATAAATCATTTTTCTATTTTACTCTTCACCTCTGTCTGGACTTGGGTTCATTCCTCCAGCAAAACCTGACAAGTAGCAGATATAACCCAATTTGTATGTTTTTATGTGTTTGTTTATTCGAAGTTCAATGAACATCTTGTTCTGAAAAGTTAAGAAAATGGGTTAAAATTTCTATTACTTGGTGTTTGACTAAACCAGTTGGTTGTTGCCACATGTCATGCACACCACAACTTAAAACAAAATACTGGATGTTCCTGTAGTAGTAGTAAAT